ATTATTTAAAATGTCTTTATCCGAAAGAGACACACCTTGTTGTCTGGAGGAGAGTCGAATGTCATTTTAGTTATTAACAAAACAATATCACATATTAATATTGAACTGTGTTTCTTCATCGAATCCCCGTTCTTGTTTTAGCATGTATTGTGTATGATGGTTGGACTTCAATTCTAAATATTGAACTGAACGCAGACATTTTAAAAGTTGGTTAGAGGTCTTTTGCACTAGATTTTTTAATAAAACTAATGATGATCCGCTATTGCCTCGGTTTATTTCCACCTAATTGACTTTAACGGTGCGATTGATATTATTTAATTACTTATTTTATACGGCCATCGCACCTACTGCGTGTACAGCACGTGCCGTACTCCTATGGGATTCTATATATTCAATCAGAGACCAATAATTGTTATAAGATCACCCTCCATGATAATTATGGATCACCCTTTAGGTATGAACGGGGTTGATGATTGATGAAAGACAAAGAGGAATTTGGGTTTTTTACATTTTCATATGAATTAATTTTTGATCTATTGCGTTCGACATTGAGAGGGTTTTTTTTTATTAATTCAAGTCCAGGCTGTTTTAGATAGCTTACAATAAACAAAAATGTGTGACGCACATAACCGATTCGATATTTATATATTTACAAAAAAAAAAGAAACCTACTGGTTATTTATATATATATTTATATGAAAAGTTATAGGCTTTGACAAAGGATAGCAGAATATACAAATAACGTTTTGTTCAGAATTATTCAAAGAGTAATCAGCTGCGAGAGTAACTTTGTAAGCATTTAGAAAATTATTTATGTAATTACACTAATATACAAACGTAACGTTTTAGAACATACCTATATTCGACGATCCGGTTTTCGGATTTACGGTTTATATTGTGATACATATACATTTCCTATATTTTGTTAAATTTTCATTTTCTGGCAGCAATTTTGACAGGTATGAACTTTTGGGTATGACGTACGTGCTCGACAGACTCCAAGCTATAACACCGTCAAAACTTCAGCTCAAACTAAGTAGTAGGAAAAAAGTTATACGTTGATTTGTGCACAAGTGTCGAAATCCTACGTTAAATCCCATTTAAACTTCAACCCTTGTTAAACGGGGCACGGGTTAAAATTAATATTTTTCAAATTTATCTATTTTTTTGATCTTATTTTTTATTGTATTTAGAAATTAGTAGGCATTTTATATAGGCTTATGTACACGATAAAAGGTATGTTGGCGAATGGTGACAACAACTAGAAATCTTTTACACGAAACAAACACTGAAGTGAGTATAAAAATCCCGGCGACAGCTATAAGACGTTAAGGTGGACTAATACTTGATGGCGAGGAAAAGTGTTTGGTGTCATAAGCACTATTATCCAAGACACCAAAAACTGTCTGTGATTTAAAAAGCTTGGTAAACATTTTGCGTTTTCGGTATCTCTTAAACATTCAACCCTGTCGAGTGTAGTTTGACATGTTTGGCGTTCTTTGTTTTTCATTATTTCAGTCCTCGTAACGCAGTTGTGTACTTAACTTTTATTGTCCACGATTTATATAATTTATTACTAACGAAATAACCGGACCGAACTCATTAATAAAGACCGATTTTAACTATTATAGCGTTTGTTGATTATATTTAACTTGCAATAACAATACACGAGCCCCGTTTGTTCTAAATTAAACCCGAACAAAAAGTATATTTCCACATGATGAAAAAAACAGTTATCAAATTCACTCGAATTGTTCCAAAACAATGTACAAGTAAATATTGTTGTTTTCAACAGTTCCGTCTTATACTTAATTTAAACTTCGGTAAAACTATCAACTAGAGCGCAAACTATTGGTAAAATGTAAAACCTCATTAAGAAAACCCCATAAACCAGTCTTATGGCAACACAGCGTTTAAGTAACCGCCCGTGTGTAATTGTGAAAATCATCCGAACTGGTCTAGTCGATTTGAATTTATGGGAACAACGTCTGACACTTTATATTATCTTTCGCCGTTGTCTTGGTAATCTTTTTTCACTTAACCTTCGCGAATTTACTAAAATCCATTAAGCAGTTGTCTCCGAGCTGTCTTGCACTGTACGAGAGAGTTTTTTTGTTTTTGTTTTGTTTGTCCAAGTCCAATCAAGAGATTAGCTTTCAGACGAACTGGCCCCGTGCACGTTAAATAAACGATTTTCTTTTAACACGGTCCTTTTTTTTATTCGGGTTTCTAATCAAGCCCCGCGCAAAACGTTTAATGAATTCAACCGGCACACACACACACATGTGGCCTGTCCGAAGTGAAGACGGTTTGAAGTAAACCAGAGTTTTGTCGCTGCCCGGGGTCCTTTTAAGTGTTTACAGTACTGATGACGTTTACACACAATTAAATTCGCGGTTTTTTATCCACAGGAATGATGAGAACTGAAAAGTGATCATGTACATTTTTGGGCGGTACGATTTACGAATATAGACGTGCTACATAAACATGACTTGCTACACTTCGGCGGTTAAAAAACAATATGGTGCATCCACCACCATAAAAAAAAGGCTCTATTAAAGGTTTTCACATAGGTGTTTACATATTATATTTTAACGGCTTGCGCACGAGTCCGCAACACCACGGGATACGTTTTTATGTATCCCACAAGGTGGCTAGTAAACATATCAAGTGTCTGGCTAATATTTTAGTGTTTTCACGATATCTGACCCGAAACAGTTTATAGAGAATTTGGCCCCTTAAATTATCGAATTAAATATTCATTTCTATTTTGAACGTTGTCAATACAACATACATGCCGCCCCCACCCCATTCCCAACACCAACCCTCATCTCCGATCTCCTATCTCCTATATCCTATCACGTAAATGTAACGTCCCCATCCCCATTCCCACCCTCATAAGAAGGACATATAAGGATACAGAAGGATAAATTTTCGATGACTGTGTCGATTTTTCCGATTGTGTTCAAAAGTAAAAACCATATCTCTTATCTCTTATCTCTCTTATCTTATCAGATAAATCAACTGATTTTTTTTCGTTATGATAACCGGTGTCGGTTTTCCGTGTGTATGCCAAAGCAAAGACATATCTCTTATCTCTTTCCCTTATCTCTTATCTCTCTTATCTAAACAGATAAATCAGCTGTTTTTTTTTCGTTATGATAACCGGTGTCATTTTTCCGTGTATGTGTGTGTGCCAAAGCAAAGACATAAAAATGTCAAAAACATATTATTGTAAAAAAACAACACCTTCTCGGCCCGGCATCGTAGCTTGAACATGGTAAAACATAATATCGGCGATTTGTACTTAACATTCAAAATAACAATGTAAGCTACTTTAGGATATAAATGTCGTTACGATTCGCGCTCAGCCGGACATAGTTCAATTCCCCGAAGAAATTATTTTATCGAACAGTAACTGAACTTGTTGTTCCCAGAACAAAAGACTTACAAAACTAAATCCAGAAAAACGCTGTACTCCGAAATATATTATTCGTGAACAATTTCTCACAATTTCTTTTTGTCCGTTCGAAACAAAATATATTATAGGATTTCATATAGCTTTTGGGCCAATAAAAAACCCTTCGGATACGATTATTGTAGACTTGCGACACGAAGAAATCACACCACCATCTTAGAAGATACATGGGCCTACGCAGGAAACACCTTAAGCATAAAAAGTGGTAAACGACCATACGTCTTAATTACCAAAGTGCTGTGGTGACAGTATTTGCTTCTTTTCTTTACCGGCCAAGTTGTCGGATAACATGACCGCTAGGCTATCCTCGGCGTACACAAACCCTAGACAATATTGATCGGACTTGGTTTGTTTTATACACTATTTGTTCGACGGATAAAAGGGTTGAAGTCCCGTCTAGCGGCTATGTGGGCTCGAGATGGCAACGCAAACGAATGTTCACTTGTGCAAAGACGTTCGAATATTATATTTCTTTCCGTTTTATAACGTTTGATTTTTGATATTTTTATGGGGGAAAAAAATCTACCCGTAGAGATAATATTATATTGATTGAATTTCAGCTTGTAAAAAGTTCGCCCTGCCGACTACAAGTTTTTACCTACTAGAAAATAAAAATAATCTCAATCGTAAAATCTCCGCACCGCGGAAAAAGGTAAAACCATATACCTGACAGATACAAAAGTAATATAGTACTCATATTAGAGTTAAAAAAAAACCGATAGTTTTTTTCTATGCCTTAGCTTGTATTCTTTGTGGAACTTGTAAGATCACCCGAGTGGATTAGAGTTGTGTTACAACAAACACTACATAATAGAATATTATCAAAATATTATGGAAAGTATACAAAAGGAAAAATGGCTTTGGCTAAAATATACAAAATGATGTCTAAATTAGCGCGGTGATCCGTTAAGATAATAAGAACCCGTTGGCTGCATTTTAATGGTATCCATGTAGGACCTTTCATTAGATATTATATATTATGAGAAAAGCTTTATGCAAATGTCCTAACTAGGTCAAAATGAACCGTACAATTGAATTGAATATTCATAACGATTCAGTCGATTTCGTTTTATTGTAATATAAAACGAAACAAGATTAAAAAAGTATTGGAGGTATAGCCTTTTATTTTTAAAAGTATTTCAACTATAATAATATTTTGTGACAATAAAATATACATCATACAAAGTCTTCAATTAATTAATTAATATATTAATAAAACATTATCAAAAAAGGAAAAAAAACTTTAACTTTTCAATAAGGGCAATAAGGGTAATTTTACCAACGTTTCGACTGGATTGAAATGTAATTGGAGATAGGTATATGCACTCTAACGAGGATTGTGCACGGATGGAGTGCTGTGCATAATGGCTGTGATTATATTATGAATAACGGATGAGGGTTTATAGTATTAATAACAGATGATATTGTTATCGTTTAAATATTTAACGGTTGCCCTTAATGCGCGATTGTAGAAGTTTATTACATGAATATTGTAAATGCATAATATTGTTATTGTTGACAGATGCGAAATCAATAGTGCCGATGGAAACGGGCAAGGAGGAGATAAGTCCTTACTGGACGTTCAACGAAACCGCCGACATATCAAAATACGAGCAATTCGACCATAAGAAATTTTTGGGTAATTATACACAATATATGTATAACAATGGTGTGATAAAAAATCAACTATATCAACACCTAATCGTTTAAAAGTTGTTACGTTTCGCACAAACTTGGACACGGTTAACAAAAGTCAAATGAACAATGAACGACCTACATCGACAACGCAACAACGATTAATTATGAATGCTGTTAATTAATTACTAAAGTTAATATTTAAGTAACTTATATTGTTGAAATCTGCTGAGAATATATATTTACTTTAAAACAATAACCTGGAAATTAATTGTTCTGTAAAAATCAAACCGTGGTGTTCAAACCAATAGTCATATTATATGTTTTTACAACGTATGTTACATGTTCCGGTTAAGAACATCTGAAATAAATAAAGGGAGAAAAAGACAAATAATTATAGTTAATACAATTGGTAATAGTCTAAGGAATAAAAATAGGAGATATAAAATAGCGTTACATGCGAGACAGTAAAGGCGTGTTAAAGGGATTTAGAAATAATAGTAAACTGCAAACATATAAGAGTATGTGACGAATATAGAAACGTGTAAAGAAAGCTCACAAATCAGATAAGATGAGAGAAAAAGGTTGTACTATACCAATGAAAAAAAAAAGAGTTCTTTTGAAAAAAATCTTATTTTTCGTTACACAAATATTTCTGGTTTTTTCAGTTTCTATTCAAAAAAAAAAAAAAAATACTGTTACTTTACTCAGCGTTCGGTTCTAGAAATGATCAAAGAAGGACATACAGGCAAATTGGAAAATCCAATGTAAATATGTATGCAGTTTTATAATACAGATAACTAACAATTTCAACGAGAACGTAGTATCTACACGTTTTCTAAAAAAAAAAAAAATTGCATTAGTAATTTTCCAATTCCTTAACAGCTATTCAATTTATTATAGAACGGTTCGAAGACTTATATTGTACATTAGTCGACAAATTGAATGCACAAACGATTGGCTTTTTCCATCAACAATTTAGCACTTTAATAAAGCAATTTTAAGTTTTTAATGTAGTTTAATCGTACAAAAGTTATGCACTCGGTAGCTTAATACTTTTATATAGGTCACCGAACTAATTTTATTTCTATAAAAGAAAACCGACTGATTTTTTATTCAAACGGGTCAAACTCATAATATTTGGTAATTTTTTTTTGAAACTGACTTTATTATATTTTGATAAAGGTTAGTTTATAACCTTTGAATAAACGAATATTTACGGTTTTCTTTAAGTGAAACATGTTATAAATTAATAACCTAACATATTATGATCATTTTTTAGTCTTCGATCGTACCTGTGTAAAATTACTGTCATCCACAAACTCACTCCTAATTATTACTTTTATGGGTCCGGTGAATACATTAACCTACATTGCAATTGCTTTAGTTAGTAAGGCAGTTAACCCTTCGTTAGTATGTTGGGGTTTATTAAACCCCACGTGATAAGATTTTGTGTTAGATAGTTAACAAACCAATAGTTAACAAACTAGATCAAATTTTCGTTTCCATTAAATCCTCCTTTCTATGTTACTTTACGATTAAAAACCGTTTTGGTTGATAAACAACCACACGTTTTACTGTTTATTGGGTTTTGAACTGAGTGATATCGATAAGGCAGTTAAAAATTATTATTAGTCATCCGTGGGTTAGGTTATTGAAGTTTGATCGTTAGGCTTTTTTTTTCAGACGACTGGCTGATCAAAACACTCTTATTGGCGCCTCTCCAATGCCACTATACCGGCTTAACACGGCTCGTGGGTTCACTTTGAAACTTTTAGACACTCGAGTACACCGAGCGAGGTATTCGGACTCCTTTATCACGGTAAAACGATTTCTACAAGTCTGAAGTCGTGTTTCCGGCAAGACCATTCGTTGAAATTGTATTTGGGCTTAGCAAATTAAGCGAGCAATGGCGGACTTCTGAAAGTCCTTAAAATTCAAAAGTAATTTCCACTGCCAAAGCTGCTGTATCGACAAAGAACCTATTGTGGTGTACGTTGGCAATTACTCGTTTCGTTTATGAACTTATTCTATATCCGAACCAATGAAAATGCATCGCATAAAGATATTGAAAAAACAAAGCCAACACATGTTGGTAATTATTGTTAATGGGTATATAATCATAATACGGATACGCGGCCAGTCAATAAAGGAAAAAATTACCAACCAAAATTTATTTATTTTTTTAACATTTATTGATACATGTACTTTGATTTACTAAAAGTCTAAAATTTACAAAAAAACGTTTATGACATAATTATCTATTAAAAAGCTCTCTTGCACTTTTTTATTTAAACTAACAGTTTTACGAAAAAATCAATATGAATTTCGGCATATTTAAAAAAAATTATTTTTTACATCTTTTTTTTTTATAATAAACAATAATTTTGTTTATTATACAATATACATACAAATTTTACACGCAATCAATTTGGATAGTCTTAAAAAATATAGCAGTACAAAATACAGCTTTGTGTTAGGTACTATATTAGGTACACGTTTACAATGAACTCGATAAGCATACAATAGCCATTGTTGGTTTTATACATTTGTAATTTATCCTTATGCCAATGAATTATTGTTTAAAACAATTACGATTAATTTACTTTTTTTAATTTTTTTATTTAGTGAGATTCTGCAACCTTACACACTATTTGTATTTTTATTAAGATGGCGTCACACCACCCATTTTTAAGGAGTAAAGTATAGGCAATTTTTTACAAAATCTTAATTTTAATGTTAAACTGTAATGTGTAATTATTAGTTCACCAACTAGGACTCTATTTGGGTATTTTGGATATTTTTTGAACTATCACGGCTTCCTTTAAAGCGATTTAAAAATGTTTTTTCATCCGTACATGTTTAAGCAGACTGCAAATAACTCACTTGATTTTTGTTTTAGAGTAAAAGCAACCAGCTTATTAATAGAAAATAATGTCATCAAAATTTTTTGTTTGCACCTTTTTTTTAATATTTGCTATATTTTTTAAATTATTGACAAAAGCTCAACATTTTTAACTTTCCGGAGCTTATAAAAAAAAAGCTCCAGTCCGATCGATGGGGACTTTTAGTATATTAAAGTACAAACATCAATAAAACTAAAAAAAAAAAAATTTTTTGGTTGGGAATTTTTTCCGCTATTTGCCAAAATTTTATCTTCATTGACTGGCCTGCCTATATTGTATTACTCTATACGAACGAGATATTAGGTTGACAAAAAAAATACACATTTACATAGTTTAAACGATAAAATAATTTATTCAAATTTATGAAGGATATATCGTATGTATATTATCAAGACGACTAAAATACTAGAAGATGTGATACTAAGCCCTTTTGCTTATACAGCTAGGGTTGTTTACGGCATAACGCGCAAAGTTCTGTATTGATCTCGACATTGTATATTATTATATTTTCTCGAGCTCAACACACATTCCATACTCATATTATACAAGCGAGAATGTTGTCATGGAACGAAATGCGCGAGCAAACGACGATTAGCCTAGTGCCATAATAATAATTCTGTTCAAACAAAAACTCATATTGCAGTAAATTTTGTCTGTGCAAATAACGTTTACAGTATATTGTAATAGAAGTTCTACGCGACATGTGGCAAACATCAACTGTATCAACGTTTAGACTGTTTCCGGTTTGGCGTTTCCGGTTTGTTTGTTATCCGTCGTGTACTGGACGCATTAAAAAAAAAAATAATAATAATAATAAAAAAAGGTAAAATCGCAATCGCCATTACACTGAATTTCATCAGTTTGAAATCACTGTTGAACGTGGAAAAAAAAAATATTTTATAATGATTCAATTGTAATACTGTCAATAAATGTGCACTTAAACGGAACAACAACAACGTACAAAATGGAAGCAAAAGGAATAACAGCCATAGCTGTTGTAATACATATTTTTTAAAACTAAAATTTCCTAGTAACATTTGCCAAACAATTCCAAATACTTTTAACTAAATCCTTGTCGAATTGAAATCAGAATCGTTACAATCTCCCTCGAAATAAGCTAAAAAGTTTAGATTTAGGAGCAAAATATAATTCAAAAACATTTTCTAAAAGAAAATAGCTTATAATATTTTCATTGAATGTTTCATCATTAATTTTGTAAACAATGGATAATGTATTATTATTGTTCATCGCCTATTAAAATATATTATTTACAAATAATGTGGACAATTATTTTTGCCCATTGTATGAAAAAATTGTTATCTATTTCATTGTACAGCAAGTCTATAGTCTATAGAAATCGGCTGGCAACTATCCTGACGCCAACCAGACAAGTTTAAGACCATTCCGGTGGGCGAAGGAGTGGCTTTTTTATTCCCTAAACACTCGTTTGACCCGGGAAACAAACTGTCGGTTACCTAAGTCTAACCGGCGACAGTGCTTTAACACAATTCCAATGAACTCTTTAACAATATTACTTGTACACTTTAACCCATTTATCATCAAATAATCACTGAGATATTCAGGAAATTATACAGGTTGTTCGAGCATAAATAAGTAGGTAAGCAATAGGCGATTGGACATCCAAGGCACAAACTAAAAAGTAATAAGCCCAAGTATTATGGCTTTTTACCCTACAGTGACAGAAGGGGGGCAAATGTGTTCCCATATGTTCACTTAACTTTTGAACCGATTTGATGAAACAAAAACTAAAATGATTTCTAAAATCGTTGGAATACTTTTCGCATTACTTTGCCCTGGTTTGTTTGTTAAAATACTGCGGAAATCACTATTATAGTAAAACTCAAGTTAAAACCTCTTACTAAGTTGAACTTTTAAGGTTTTATTTTATACCTTCACCATTACTTTGTAAGCAACCTGAAAAAGTGTAAAATCAAAGTTTTAATTAAACCAAAACAAAAACCAGACTGTAAACAAGTTGGTTGATACACTTAAATTTCTTCAGAGTGGGTACGTTAGCATGTTGAAATTGGATGTTGCAGTCGCCGGTTGCTGTAATTTGCATCTACCGAATGTCTAATAAAAAAAAAAAAGAAAACTCTTTTAAAAACACGCTTTTCCAAAAAAAAGTGAAGTAAAAAATAATTTTCCCAAAAGAACAATTTACCAATCGATTGTAAGCACATTAACCGCGTTTTTTCAGTTTTATGATTTTTTTTTTCATGTTTTTTTTTTACCAGAACACGAACTCCACCTTCAAGTGCCCGATCCAAACGTCGTGGACGTCCGGCTTCCGGTTAAGCCCCGGACCATCAGCACCACCACCGCCGCGCTGGCGCCGGTCACGCCGACCGCCGAGCCCATTATTCACGTGGGTACGTCCAACGTCACCGTGCAGCTGGGAAGCACGGCTCTACTTCATTGCGAAATAGCCAACTTGTCCGGCACAATGGTAAGTAAGGCCGAGTAGTCCAATGACACCGTTATAGCCGACACACGGCTTGTATGGGCACGTGATCCGCAGTCGTGGGACGTGTGGAAATTGGGCTTCCCTTCGACTCCTTCTCCCTCTGTCTGCCTCTGGATCCTCGCACTTATCCTCAACATTGATCCCGGGTATCTTGTGACGCGAATTAGAACAAAACCGGGACAGACCGGGATCAACGACGGATAATGTAATATAATCCGTGCCGAGATAAAGTTTTCTCTTTAACGATTTATTACCACACACACACAGTAGAGAGTGTATGTATATATATATATATATAATAGATGCTAATTTCGTACCAATATAGAAACGCGCCCCAGTCGCTTAAGGGGATCGAACGGACGCGGTTTTTAAGCGGTTATAATATGTTCAGGTTAATTTAAAAGTATATAATAAACTTCTGTGTATGTAATTTTAAAGTTTATTTTAATTAATAACATAATAACAATTGTAATATCGATGTAGTTTAGAAAAGAGATAATCACTCGTTTCGTCAATAAAACCTGGCCATAAACTAAACTCATTATTTAGCCAGTCACAATTGGTTTCCAAAAATCTTAAAATTAAATATTAGTTTAGAAAAAAATGTTTCATATAGTATGGTGAGAAATAGGATAGCATACCTTTCATACCTATCATGTTTACGACAACATTTTTCCCATTTCCTTGCAAGAAAAATTGTATATTAGTCACAACATTTTCTTCAAATTTAGAGAGTTCCAATTCATGACATTATACCGGGTTTTAATTACAGTCACTAAATATATTATGAGGAGACTTTGTAATTGGACCTCTAGCTTTTAAAATAGTTAACAAATCTTTATAGCTGTATGACGTAGTGCTAGCGTCATTCTCTATGCTAGAAGTTGTTATGAAAAAGCCAAAAGATAAGTGTTAATATGTTTTGTCCGAACTACTCTGATTTTATATACATATATATGTACGATAGATATTTGAATTTATGTAATTTTAATGTGTACATTTCAAAACATACCCTTCGTTGTATGCATCCATCAAGTTCGGCAATGATAATCATATTAAAGGTTTGCTTTACTAATCACTAGTTTTTAAATTATCATATTTTATAGCTTCGTTGCGGTCATTTAAGTTTAAAAATAACGTTACGACTGCTGGAGTTGTTATTTTGATATACAATACAGTTTTATCGCGTACAAAGTTCAACTGTCGCGTTGTTTCAATTTACAAAAATATCAATTTAAAAAAAAGACGCAAACCTCCGCACACGGATTGTTTTTCATCTTAAAACTGAGAAGTTCTACTATAAGATGTGTGTAGCCGCTAAGAGTAACTATGAGTGACTACAGAGATAAGGTCCATTTAATTTTTAAAAAAAAACCAATACAATTTTATCAACTGTATTAATTCAACAACATACAATAAATTGAAAAAAAAAAATAGTAAAATCAAAATCAAATATATCTTATTAGTAGTACATTTTCTATACTAAACAGTGAAAAAAAATCAAGTTTCTGCGATAATTCAATCTTGAGATACACATTTGTGTAAAAATTAATCGAAAATACGGTTGTTTTGTACGCCTTCTATTCTTATATAACCTTGTAATTCATGCAAATATTAACAAAAAAATGTTTATGTGTCTTAGGTACTATACAATAGTATGAGGTTTAATTTGGATTTTATAAAAATTATTCAAAAATTTAATTTTGTCCAGCTAAATTTGCGTTTTGAACAAAAAACAGAACGCATTCAATCAATTTAATCATTTTTTTCTGTTTTTTTTTTCTGTTGAAATTAGTGTCGCTATTTTTACTTGGGTTCCGGCCGAACAAGTCACGCATTCGTTGGGGTTCGATAATAATATTTGTGTCCAATTTATCACAATAAAATGTTCGAGTTGCGAGCAAAGTTGCAAAACTTTTGCCGAAACGCGGACGATTTGTTCGCAGAGTCTCTTCCGGCGACAAAACAACATTGCATCCATTACGGTCGTGATTTCCAATGGGAAACATGATTTATAATAATAGTACTTAGAAAACATGCAAATATACCGTGCAGACACTTGTGTTTTTTTTTTAAATCGATTTCTAGCTGCTTTTAGTATAACATATTTTAATCGATCGACTTCAAACATATAATGCGTGGGGTCGAAGCATAGTGGGGACGGAGAGGTCACAGGTCTACAGGTTTTATTATAACTGAATGTGATAAAATCACTTTTAAATAAACGCTTCGATGCGAATCTGTGGATAGCATGTTCAAACTAGTTATAGTGGTTTAGAAGATATCGTGGGACCAGCGATAATGTACTTAAAATTTAATATTCAGTCTTGTAGCAAGGTGGATACGATAAGGGTTGATCGTCGGCCTATAAAAATGTACTGTCATAGTTACCCATGTATCGTAATTAACAATATAATGAAAATATTTTCATTACCTGTTGACTGTTGATTCACACACACACATAGCAATCTAGAAACTGACTACGACCAAAGTGTAAATTTACTCTATTTTTGGGGGTTTTCCTTAATAAAAAAAAAAATTTTACCACAGATTTTTGAGAAAATTTTACATGTTATAGTTCCGTTTTAGATCTACCTTCGGTCTAATTTTCAGATCTAAATCTCTAAAACTTTGCTTGAAAAAGTGAAATAAATAAAAAAATTCTGTCCCTTCTATGGGAAAGGGTTTATGATATTTTTTTGGTTTGTTAACGTTTATCGATAGTACTAAATTTGAAGAACAATTGATACAAATTTGGAACTTTTTCGAATATTTTTAAAAAAGTTATAGAGCATCGTAATATTAAGTTGAACAATTTGTAAATTGTTTGGGTGTAAAATTATTGTAAAAACAATACCTCCTCAGCTCCGCATCGAAGCTAAAATCCTAAAATATAAAAAAATGAATTCGCTAACTATATTTTTGAATATTCACACTCTGTGTGATATTATCATAAATGTAAAAATTTTTTAACAATTATTTTAATAATTTGTTTGAGTAACGAACACTTCTACTTAAAGCTCAAGAGCAATTCTTCAAAATTTATATTCAAACACAAAACACATTGCTTTACTAAACGATGCCAAAAAACTAAAAAGTTGTTGAACTATCGGTAGCAAACATTCTTCACATAACACTATCATTTGTTAATGGCTGTGGCGAATTTATATTATTTTTATTTTAGTTTTAATCACAATTAATTACGACCCACACCCAAAGCATTAGACTATTGCAGTAAAGGAACATTATGTGTGTAGAGTTAATGGCCCGAAAAGCGTTTTTAGCTTCCGTCAAGCTATCCATTATTTGTAATACTTGACATTTATACGCCATAAAAGAAATATAAAAAAATTGAACGCACAAAACATCAACTATATGGTAATGGTAGCATAAAAATGATAATTTTTATATTCTATTTTACTACTCTAAAATGTCATTTCGAAAAAAAATCAAAAAAATAGCATGTCACCAACCAAAAATACAAAAGATATTATTTGTGTATAAAAGAAAAATTGAAAATAAAAGTAAACGATTCTCTGCTTGCGTCGGTTCATATGAAATCCCAAGCTATGATTTTAATTCCAACGACAACACTCTACCCTTAAAATACCAACTATCTGTGTGGGGTTGAAACCCCAGTGTCGAGTGACAACCCCCGGTAGTAGAGGGTGCTAAAATGTCCATTTTCTTAAATGTTTTTTTTTTGACCACTGTGCACCATGGATATTTATGGCAAGCATAGATGTATGTGTTAGAACAAAACGTACATTATATTTTATTCGCTACTTGTACATTACCGAAACGGCACCGACCGTTGGCAACTAAAAGACGTGCCGGGAACATAGATAAACATTTGATATCCATTTGGGTTACTTTCATTCTGGAGCAATGCCTACTGCACTGTTTGTTGAGTTACACTCTCAATGGTAAAGCAAACCTAACAAACAGCCTTACTAAGAAGAAAAAAAAATAACACAGTGCGTGTGCTCATATTTTTTATCAGCACATACAGCTAATATTTCAGTGTTTGTGGTGACAGTTCAATGAACACAGCTCGTTTATTGGTTTGTGTTTATCTTACTTCGTTTTACGTCGCGGTATATTTTCACTAAATTAATTTCTTTCCTCTCATAGCACTCTATTGGAAACAAATAAATCACGATAATTGATTTCGAGGGAAAAATGAAAATTAGCTTGTTTTACCGCGAATGGCGGTTCATAAATGGAATATTCGGTAGAAGCTAAGAAGCTAGCCGGCAACTTGTTTTCTCAAAAAAATACTAATAATAATAATGGGCACGGGTCCGCTAGATATTGATAAATAAAGGAAAGAGACAGAACGTGGGTGTAACCCCAATTATTTTTGAATGGACACAAACGAGTTAGGCAGTCGAGTGAACTAAATAAATGCCCAGCAAACAATGTATCTTCTATACCACTATAACTAGTTTGAACATCCTATCCACAGATTCGCATCGAATCGTTTATTTAAAAGTGATTTTCTCACTTTCAGTTATAATAAAATCTGTAGACCTGTGACCTATCCGTCCCCACTATGCCCCGACCCTTTTTAATTTTGTATTTTATCTATCACATAATACCACAATTTAAGCTATTATTCAACGTGCTGAATTGAAGTGTATTATTTTATTGGTTCGATTAACAAAACACTGTTACTCGGCTGTGTTTGTAGATAATATTTACTTTTCAAAAAGAAATCTGTATTGACCTTTTGCATCTCAACGTTAATTGCGTAAACATTGAGGTCGTGTCGAATTTGCATAGTACAATAAACTGCTAAATAGGGTCATTTTGTCAAATCGAAAATAACTCTTGGTCAAAGTTTAACCGTTTACTTTGTCTGAGTATTTGTGTACACTTGCAACGAACCCGCGGGCAAAGGACTAATCGCGTTTAACGATGGTTAATTAAGTACTTTCTAAGAATACACCGTCTTGCACGGTTTATGCGGTGTCATCAAATTAAAATACTGTCGACGGATCATTAGCAGTGTTTAATTAAACTGCTCAAGACGTAAACAAACAACGTTAGGAATTCCCCAAACTTCCTCCCCCCCCCCTTCTTTTTCGTTTGCCACCCTCGTTAATTGTCACACTTGAAATTTATCTACACCATAACCGTTACCACCGAATACTTTCAAAAGTCTACAAATCATCGAGTTGACCGTAGTAACGCGCGTTTGCTAAAATAAAAGTTACGGCCCCGTGTAGTAACCGTTGCAGAATATAGTATTGTTTAATATTATACAAATATATTATGTTTATTTGCATTCATAAACAGGTGTCTTGGGTGCGGAGAAGAGATTGGCACATCCTCAGCTCGGGTTTGCTGACTTACATAAAAGACGAACGGTTTCGGGTGTTCCATTCCGACAAGAGCGACGATTGGGATTTGCGGATATCGCCAGTGGCCAAAATTGACAACGGCACCTACGAATGTCAGGTAAACGAATTACTAGGTGGTAATTATCAATTCATTTACAAACCGTCTGTCGTGTCTGAGATTGCAAAAAAGGCGACACGAGTTTGAGTCGTACCGTTTACCATAAGAGAGCACCTTGGAGTGTACTACAGCCCCCTTTAAGATCTAATTCAGCACCCTCAGCCCTGAAACGCTAAATATAATTGCAAAACATTAGCCTGAAGATTTTATCATTGTTACTAGGACGTCAAATCACACTGATTTATAAATATTATAAACACTGAAAGAAACAATAGGTAGTTATATAATATTGTATAAATTCAATTATTGTAATTCAATTATGTCATGTTTAAAATAGTTCATGAAACAGCTGAAAATTGTTGAGATATTTTAACAGGAGTAGTTACCAAAAAAAAAAAACTGTATGCCATAATATTGTTTACTACTTTATGATCTCAATATAAACATAAAAATGTTACTGTTTTTTATAATAAAACCGTAGCTTGAGGTTTCACTGTGAATATAGGTCATTGTAGTTACAACATTGGGGTATGGTATTTAGCCTCTAATCATTTCTTATCAGCTGATTCTTTTGTCAATAATCCAGGATTTATCGATTCACCCTTATCACCATTCAATCCCTACCTCATTCACAATTTCCTTGTTCTCGAAGAATGTATGTAACAATAATATTAAAAATCTTTAGACGAAAAAAATGTAAAAGATGTTAGGGCCTGTTATTTTGATTACAACCCCCAATTTATGGTATTCACATTAGTTTATTGTAGCATTATGGACTGACTTTATTTATAATATTTGATTACTTAACTAGGTACTTGAACTAGTCAAAACATCATAAGCAATAGTTTGTTAACATAGATGTTATACAACGATAGAATTTAAACAATGTTAATTAGTTACACATTAAGTGTTGAAATAAAAAGGGATCACTAATAAGATATCTGAGCTCTCTCTAGCCTCTCATTTCTGTTTAAAACATACCTACATTTAATAACAAACAAAATTATATTCATACGCTAGTAATCAAAATGTTGTGTAATATATTAACGAACGGTTCATTGCATTACACCTGGATGGATCAGACAATAGTAATAATGACAATTATGTATATGGCAAAATATGATATTACTTGTGAACTTGGTAAATTTGTATTCTATTTGCAAGGCAAACACAATTCACTAATTGGCAAACCAATTGCTATTGATTGACATTTATATTTGCTGTTCATACCTGAACGTCAAACGCAATAGCAGTTAAGAACCCTCATAAGATAATAAAATATAACATCCTTTGAATATTGAATATATATGTATGTATATATTACTTGTACGTGAATGAAAAATCATTATAAGTTAATGATAAAACGAATTATAAATATTTAGTACTGAATGATGCTGGTATAGGGTTGATTCAATCACTACAACAAACTCATTTTTGTAACACCGTCGACTGTATCGGAAATTGACTTTTCGACGATAAATAATTCATGAGACACAACTGAGATTTTAAATTATTATAGGCGATAAAATTATGCAAATGAGCGCAGAGAATTTCACACTGCACTACACTATGCATCAATGGCCTAAGCCTAGTGTATACATTGTGCTGATGAGGTGTGCCACAAAATTCAGGAAAATTTAACACAACGAGCAGTCGGTACAACACAAATTTAGAATCATAAGAACGGGGGTACACTGATTTTAGGGAAATATAAAAATTTAAGTCTTGAAATCCAATTGGGGATTCCAAGGAAGTTGTAGCGGTGGGGTTATGGAGGGTCGCTAAGAAAAAATAAGTGGGACGTTCCCGCCCCACAAAAATGTACAACAAATCCCTATCAATAAATGCAATGTAACGGGTCAGTGGGCAAAGTTAATAAAGATTTATTTAGATCTTTATATCCTAACATTGCTGGCGTTTAACTGCACTAAATTAAAAAAAACACAGTTCCTATAGACGTTCGATGTACTGCTTGTTTGAAGTAATTTGCTTACAGTTTTCAGTCCACGTTCCAGGCATGTCCCATCTGAAGTTTTGCTGCTTTATTTTATCTGAAAAATGGCAAAACGAAATTCGGAGTTATATAAACAAGTGTAAACAGAATATAACATACAACCGTTTAATGCAAAATAGTTAATTCATAATATCATCCAATGTTTATATCAAACTAATAATAGCTAATATAAATTTAAACCATAATGTATTTTTAAAATTAAAAAGAAAGTGCCTACCACACAAAGTGTAGAAGTTAATTAAAAACATTTTCAGACGAAAAAATGTAACATACTTATTATTAAGGCCCCTGGATACCGACCGTTTTTTTCAGCCAAAACACATCTTTTTTTGTCCATTGCACAGGTTTAACCAGTGGTCCGATTACCAATCTAAAAACAGATATGTTTTCAATTTTTAATTTTAACCCTTTCCAAATTTGAATTTGAATTTTGAAATTTTATAAAATGATCAAACGTGTTTTATGCGTTGTAGGAATAAGATATCAAAAAAGTACGCTGACCGATCTCAAGTAAACTTCACGACAAATTCAAATCTGTTTTCAGATTACTTATCGGATCACTGTTTCGGCCTGTGCGATGGACAAAAAATGTACTATTATATTATTAACTAAAATGGCTTTTACTCATAGACAAAATGATTTAAATTAAAAATAATACCATGATGCTTTAACAAATTAACTGGTAAATTAATTGGCATGGTCGAAATGTATTAAAACCACTTTTTTCTTAAGTATTGCCTATACAAAACTCCTTAAAAATGGTCGGTATCCAGGGGCCTTAAAATATTTTTCTTAATCCAATTTTTAAAAAAAAACAATTCAACCCAACCCGTTAGAGTTATTTCACCATCGACGTATCCAAAAGAGATTGGGGTCTTCATTACTAAATCAACCATTGTTGTTTTACATTAAAAACAATTCGGGGAAGTAATAACAAAGTGGTAATTTAATAATTAAAAATTTGATTAAAACAAATTAAGAATCTTTCCTGACCAATATGCTTGGATTCACCACTATTTTTAGCATTTTACTTAACGTACATCATTGGTCCTTCTTAGTATTTTTTTTTAAAACAAATTAATTATACTTATCTAATGATTAAACGATGTAAACGGTAAATATTTATAATTCTTATTTTACTGACGTTATTATACGTTGGTGCGTTACTTCCTGGCCGCCCACAAAGTAATACCTAAGTATTTCCTATCTTCCTAATTTTATTTTGGTTGTATTCAATTCTCTATCTTCCCTTGTGTTTCCCTACCCTAGCCAAAATGTTAATAGGTCACTTTAAACGGTCCATCAAACACCAGGAGATGGGGTTGAAAGGGAAAAATGGACAGTGATGATTGTGGATGAAATCAGCTGAAACAAGACAGAAAATAAGATGATCACAAGACACGCGCATGGTACAATATCTTTTCTATGTAATAACGTTCTCCTACAGTGGGTTTACAGCTCAGCCGTTTAATAAGAACGATAACAAAGACTGTTAATAATGCGTTTTGAATAATTATTACTCGTGAAAAGTTATGTCGTGAATGTGAATATATTTTCGAACAATGTGTGTAAGCTTGACAAGAGTGATTGGTGAAATTTCATTACTTCTTTCGAGTTCTCCACATCCGGAAACTACCACAATGTAAAATAATTTCCAACGCCGATGAATTATGTAAATGGAAATCTCTTGAACTTAAATAAACCGGTAACATTTCGAAGCTCGGATAATTTCAACACGTCTAATATGCCATAAACTTTTTGTCAACCGCATATGAATATATTATTTATAACGCGTTAAGGCGACGAATTACTACATAATTAAATGAACAAATGTATAACTCGACTCGTTATGAACTAATCAATTCTTAAATCTTTCACCCTACATACTTATACAGTCAGTTATGGACTTAGTTCGTTTGGCGTGTTTCGCATTACGGTTCATTTTGTCATCATTTATTTACAGGAAGGGAAAAAAACTATGATTTAACCGCTTTACAGCGAAATCCGTTCAATGAAAACCACTCATTCAATGCCACACAAATGCTTCACTGGTCGGCAACTAGAATTAGAGGAAAAAGTTATCCAGTACAATATTATTACATATATATATATATATATATATATATATATAATCTGTGCTACTACTTGACCGCAAATCCTATCCAAACTTTTGAATGCCAGAACTCCACTAGGAATTATGGTCAAGAGCTAAAGTTATAGATTAGTGTTTATTGAAAACATGTCAAGAGGTGTACATTTCAGAGGAACTTGAAAACGTCAGCAAAACGAAACATTCGAAGAGTATATTTGACATGGACGATTTTCTATTAAAATGTTTAAAAAGTCATTTTAAACCTTCGAGCAATTCAATATGGACAATACTCCATTGGTATCAGATTCGGCATTTATTATAATTTTTTTAACCATATACTTTCACGGTGAAGCTGCTTGGTTTCTCTGCAGAATCCCATGTCTTCAGGGCCATGTTTTCTGTGCGAAAATAACTGCTAAAAATAACATGGCACACTCTGTATTCGGCGAATCGATAAAAAACAGAAACAATTTTTATCTCCCAAATACAGCTTAGTGCAAATCCAAATTAAAGTGAAATCCTTTACACTCGAACAGCAATCCTCGACTGTTGGCACGTTGCGTTATTGTCATTTCATATTTATAAACGTTATTCTCTGGAGTTCCACCCCCCCCCACCATTTTTTCAACACCCGCATTCGTAGAATTCCGTACAGACAATTGAAATAGTGTTTATCATATTTTATCATTAATCAACGGTCGCTAAACAATTTTATTTTCAACATTCTTCAGCGCACATACTCTACACAGATGAGAATTTTCTTTCGAAAAACGTAGTTACCTCTTGCTTATTATTATTTTCATGATAATTTAACCGGGCGCAGTTCTCGATAAAATTTTTCATTAAAGTTTAGATAACAATATGGCTATTGCTATGTTTGCAGATCTGCTGCAC